AACATCAATGGACGTCCAGATTCTTCTTGCTGGTGGAGTGCCTGGGTCCTGCAAACCATCAATGTATCGTATTATTGTATCAGATTCTTCTAACACGACGACAATCATTTCGTCTATCTTCGAGAGATCACCTCCCATTAACCAATACCAGAGACGAGACAAGTTTGGTTAACAATAATGACGTAAATTGAAGCATGATCATGACCTGGTAAAAGTAGAGGCGACTAGACACACCCCCAACATCAAGCTCCCAGCTTCTTGAATCTCCGATCCATCCCTCCCCTGGCTTGGTAGGGTAGCCATAGCTTCCCCAAACAGGATGAGGTAGCAATTGAACCAGCTCTTGTGAGTGTGGGTTACTGTAAGGATCACACATGCTGAAGGGTTCCTCAAGGAACTTGGCATTTCCTGGACCGCAGTACAAGTGATAGGCACCATAGGGGAAGTTGGCGGTGTCGTTTCGGTACAGTTTGGTGTCGTTTGGGGTAATGTGGAAAGGAGGGCAAAGGTATGGGTTGCTTGGGTTACACCATGGCTCTGTTTCTGGGTTGATGATCATCTCCGAGTATCGTGTCACGTCAGTGAGCAGATCTCCATCGCAAGGGGATCCGTCGTTCTTCCAGCAGCTGCCGATGTCGATCAGGTAGAACTGGCTCTTGGGACCTCCACCTTGTTTGATGTCCAGTGTCAGCTTCACCTTGAAGTTTGGAGACTCTGGCAACTGCATACATAATTACATTTTGTAAACTGTAAGCATTCACTGTTTAAACCCGGTATAGCTTGTTCATTCAAGGAGAGACAAGGGAGAAGAAGCACAAAATTTCCTGAAAAGTTCCCTCATTATTGTGTAGCCGAAGTAAGGCAGCATGAAAACGAAGGTAAAGCCTGCTCACCACAATTGTCGGCTCAATCATGAATTCATGATAGAAGGGATTCATGGCACACAGCCTAGCAATATGAAACATCGACTACAACGAAAACAATATTCGTATGCAACTAATATGCCTGAAATCCGAACTTGATATGAGTCTCACGATCTGCTTATTAGATTAACCAGGTATATTGATAGCTTTATCAGGACTCGTATATGAGAGCTTTAGCTCATCTAGCTCTCATGACATATCAATGGCAAATCGTCCAATAACTCAAAAATTTTAATGAGAGGGACCCTCAGAAAAAATGAATGTAGCAACAGTTTAACATAACCAAGACAAAAGGTTAAGGGGATGTCATCAAACTCATGATGATAGAAACCAGAGAACAAAACTACGAGCTCTCAGGCTTGTCACAGGTTCGATTGCAAATAGAGAATAGAGAATGGGGAAGGGGAATCTGGGGGGAAAACTCACAGTATGGAGCATGCCTCTGGTCTCATAGTGATACCCACCAGAGAACCCCGAAGTAGCATCAGCTCGAAGGTACAGCATCAGCCATGGATACTTCTTTGAAGTCTTGAGCTTATGGTGAAAAACCCAACTCCCGACCCCAACTCTCTTCTCCCAAGCAACCTCATACCTGGAAATTGATCCATCACCAGTCACATTGTAATAATCGTAGGAGCCATTGAAGCTTCCCCTGAGCCAACCATCAAAATCAACTTGAGTGGGTTGATGACCGAGAGTGGGTTGGTTCATGCAACCAGTTCCAAAGCAAGGGAATCTCCCTGGCTTGAAAGGAGCCCCCTTCTTCCCATTCTCTGGGCATAACCCGGAATTGGTGTCGTAGTTGCCATTTTTCAGCATAATCATCCAGAAGTGCCATGGCTTGTGGTTATCGGAGACCACCTGGCATAACGAGCCGAGGTAGAGCTCCTTCTGGACAGCGTAAAGATCTGGATTCTTGAGAGCTTCTGGGGGTAATCCTGGAAATGGGTCTCCTGTTCCAAGCTTGTTATCGGCTTCTGTTACCTTGTGCTCCACCACTCCCCTGTTTGTTGATTCTGTTTGTTGAGAGAGGTAGATTAATTAGTAAAAGTTAACATTTAGAAAGCCTGGAAATTTACTGGTATACCATTCCTTTCCGTGTTGTTAATTTTCATGGCAAGAATAAGAGTTTGAGGTATAAAAACCAATCCTGTAACACTTCATCACATGCCTAACTTAGAATTTGTAGAGATTCCTCCTACCAACAATCAACCGTGTCATTGAATATTTAAAATATTAAATGTTATCGTGATTCGGATACGCAATCTCTCATGGAACAAAACTTTGCTATATAAGTTAAGAACTGATGCAAGCCAAATAAATAAAAGACAAAATGAACACACCAGTCCATTACATTGTCCTAATTATTTGACAGTTTTGCTATCGTACCTTAAACTATTGGCTTCATTGGTTCAACATCCGTAACATTTTTTTTTACAGTTTCTACAAGCATTTGGAAAGATGATTGGTTTTGAGAGAAAGGGGAGAGAGAGGCGTACTGTAGCTGTTGTTGGAAGTGGGTGGTTCTTCTAGTGCAGGGGTGAAATCGAAGCAATCAGCAGCTCTAGGGCTGCCCATAACACGATCTTCGTCTTCTTGTCGGCCAACTTCATTGCAGAAGTTCCAAGCTTCGAACGCCACTCTAAGACCATCTCTTGTCATCCCAGGATCTCCCACAGCTGACTGCAGCTTCTTGTAGTTCTGTTCCCCTCTAGCAGCAGAATGAACAAAAGCAACTCCATGATTGACCACCAACCAGAACACCAACAGCAATAGCAAAGTATGCAAATGCCGCATCCTCCTCTGGTTTCTTGCCATTGCCGTACCAACTATATGCTAATGATAGAGGGTACAATATACTCCCCACTTCCACTCTGCCACCAACAAGAATATGTAAATGGGAAGAGCAGGGCAGGCCCAGCTGGGTGGCTGGCTGATATCGATTTTAGGAGAAATGGGTACTTTTCTCCTGTGTTGACATCTTACCATATCTCTGCATATCGACAAAAGAGTCTTGTCCCCACAGTCCCACTCCAATAAAAGAAATATAGAAGCGTACTAAAGCGTTTCTGAGGCAGAGTTGGCTTCTCTATCTCCTTCTTCCAATCCTTTTGATCCAGCAGTTGATCGAGGGGACGACGGAGATGAGCAGTGATCCTCCCTGAAAATGTCCGCAGGTGCTTAACTTACAACCAAAAGTAAAACTGAAGTGGTAACCACTGCCCAGTGGCCAGTGCTATTGAGCCTCAAGGATTTGGTGTGTCAACTGTTCTGTAGTGGTTTTCCTTCACTTTTGGTTTTGAATTTATAGAGTAATGTGCATTGATTAGCTTTAATGGGTCGTGCTTGGAAGAAGGAAACACTGTATGGGTAGTAACAAATTGCAATAACTGCTGTCATTTACCAGAAATCTCCGCAGTTGCAATTTTCATCTTTGAAATGATGGAATCGACTAACATCCCTGACTGTTCTCTCTCTCTTGTAATGAGGGAGATTAATTCGATAGCATTGTGATAATCACCGCAAACTCTCAAATTCTTCGTCACCAAGATGGGTTTTGATGGGCTCAGACTGAGAATTCCAAATGCAATAGCTAGTTCTCACTGTGATAGAGAAGGATCTTATTATCCTTTTCTTCCTCTTCAACATCATGGGAAACATTGCTCGATTCAGCATGGTATCCCAGCCTCTTCATCTCCACTTGCATTTCATCCAGTTTCTTGTTTATCTCTTCTGATTGTGGATGAGACCTATCCCCACGACCAACAAATGCATGAACAATCCCACCAACCTCGATTCAACTGCAACCAGGACACTTTTAGCAAATCACATTTCATTCTGCGCGAGTCTCACTTGTGCTTCATCATCCCATCTGCCAATGGTGCTGTGCATATTGGATAGAAGAACAAAGTTCCTTGTGGATTCTGGCCATAACCTCTATTTCCTTTGACACTGCTTCTCCAAGTTCAATATTCTTATGTACCCTGCAGGCAGCCAATATGGCTCCCCACATACGAACATCGGGTTGAATGGCATATCTTGAATGAACTTGTAAACCTCTTCAAAATGCCCAACCCGGCTTAGCAAATTGGTCATGCATACATAGTGATCCATCCTTGGGAAGATCCCAAAATTCCGGATCATGGAACCAAACCATTTTCCCCCTCCGCAAGGAGTCCTGAATGGCTGCAAGCAGATAATAGACAAATGAATGTCACATCAACCTGCTGCATATTTTTTTTTTGGGTAGAAAACCTGCTGCATATTTTGGAAAAGTGAAATAGCATCCTTTCCGAGCCCGTGAACCCCATCAGCATCTATCATTGCATTCCAAGAGATTACATCCCTATCATGCATTTTATCGAACACTTGCCGTGCAGTATGGATCTTCCCACACTTTGCATCATGCCAATGAGGGAATCGCAGACTATTACTTGTATAGCCATGAACTATAGCGTAAGAATGGCTGCAACAACCATGTTGCAGAGCTGCCAGATGAGAACAAGCAGGAAGATGGAAGAATACCTGTCATTGTTGACACGTCTGGAACTAAACCAGTCAACTTCACAGACGACGAAAGAACGGGAGAGGCTTCCCACTACTACTTGTATAGCCATGAACTATAGCGTAAGAATGGCTGCAACAACCATGTTGCAGAGCTGCCAAATGAGAACAAGCAGGAGACACGTCTGGAACTAAACCAGACAACTTCACAGACGACGAAAGAACGGGAGAGGCTTCCCACTACTAGGTCAGTAATACCCGAACTCTGAGTGTGGGTCAAGGGAAAGGCTTTGCGGAGACTTTGACGGATGAACTTGGCTTTGGACACGGATTTTGGAACGCCGGTGGTAGCGCGGGTTTCCTCCTTTGCATCGGCACAGGGATGCGCGAACGGAATTGGACTTCCGGCCTGGTCCAAAATAATTGAATTTGAGGCTCAATTGCAAAATAAAAGCGCCGAAGTATCAGTAGACAGTAATGTCCCCAAGAACTTGAGGTATTTTCAAGTTTGCCACTGGCTTCGGCCCATTTCTTGTTCCGCTTTGTTTCGTTCATTTGTTCCGGCATCCGCCCCAGTGCTCAGGTTTCCGTTCAGCCCACAGGACTCTGTCTGCAAATCTTTCTTCCATCTCTGGCTGCAAGCCGGCACTTCCTCTGTGTTCTGGCATCCCAAGTTTCGGCATAAGCTGTCTTCTGTTCGTTACAATTTGGTTGTTGCCCAAATCGGTCCAGTTTTGTGGGGTTGTGGTGGAAAGGGATGTCCATAAATACCATAAGGATTGATTATCCTAAAGAGGTTTGTTCTCTACGTCCCTTATCTATTTGTACAGATATCACTCAACTAGACACAGATTCCCGTGAGTGCTTTCCGGGTTAGCAAGTACACAACTAAGATAACAAGAAGAAAGACAACAAGGAACCAAACAAGGACGATACCAGGCACATAGTAACAGATTCTCATCGTCAGCGCAAGAAGGTTGATCAATTACTTGTCTACTATTAGCAAAAAGCATGTGACACATTTTCCTCATCCCACATGAGAAAGACCACCACCAGTTTCAGCCTTCGTCCTGAAGCAAACAGAACGAAAAATGGTGACTCCGCCTTCCACAGACAACTCCAAAAATACAAAGCAGAGAGGGGGTGTAGAAGATAACTTACTTATGGTCGGAAGGATTTGGCCTGAGTTCATACACGATCGTTGCAACAGTATCCCTCTTCAACTGTTTATTATCACGGACAAAGAACATTCGGTTTAAGTTGATATGGCGAACATTCGATTCTGACAGAAGCAAGAGCAAGAGATCACACCAATGTAATGTAGTTACCTTAGTGGCTTCGCCTTTGAAACCAATGTAGTGTATCTGTGTAGTATCTCCCCCAAGATTATCGGGAAAGTGCAATGTGATACTTGACACTCCCTGGAATTTGGCATACCTGGTATACCAAAAAGATATTTGATATTAGGAAAGATAAGTCCATGATTAAGCTATTTCCAGTTCAACAAATTCGACACTAGTTTGTAAGAGTTACCTAGTTTGGTACTCCAGCACTCCTTGCAAATTTTCAACCAACTCCCATTCCTTGTAGAGAAAAGAACTAGGACCATGTAAGGCAAAATACTAGAGTTGATCAAGCTCTCATTAGTAGTAAGTAGAAGAAATTCAAAACACCTGCACCGCTTGCATGTCTTGAGCATCAGAGAAATCCATTCCTTCTCGATTGATAAACCTGCACATAGAATTCAAAACAGCAATCGAAGTTCAGATATACAAGCAATTTATAAATTTTATCTAAAAAACGCGAGGTTGTTCAAAAACTTGTTCATCTTCTTAAACGTGAGATCTATCTAACATGGTACAAGTATAAGCAGAAGAGGAATAAACAAGCAAAGGGGATTTCAACCTTTAGTCACAATTTCGTATCCAAAAGAAATTACAACATTAAAAACAGAGCACATCAAATTGAGCCTTGAAAGATACCAGTAAGACTGATTCAGCACGGCATTTGGATGGTACAACTGTACAAGGTATTTCTTCCATAACACCACCAAGCCAATTAACATATCAGCACAAGAATGCATTGAAATAGTTCTGTATGTTCCATCAGTTAGACTAACATTATGCAGGCATCTAAGTTGTATTGTATGTAATCACAAATTAAGAGGCAAATGTTTCCTCTGTAATTCTACCTTGAAACATTGTTGACTAATGCAACAAAGGAACAGATATACCGAAGAAAACATGTAAATCAAACTTACGCTCTCATTCTGGAAGGACTTGTTCGCTCTGGTCCACCAACAATCGAGATGCTCTTGATCTTAACATCAGATGTGAACCTGCATTCAGTAAAGTAAAAATAGGGCATCCAAAAAAAAAAAAAAAAGAAATGGAAGCATACTAATAGTCGAAACTGAGAAATAGGAACTTAGAATAGCCAAAAAAGTAGACAGAGTAAGACTTTGCAGATAATCAGGGAAAATGATTGTTTGGGCATTTGAACAGCTGCAGATTAAGATTCAATACACAGCACTGCTCTATATCAGGGTTGAATACTGTTTTCACAGGAAGCCAATTTGACGACTAATAACCGACCCATTGGGTGATCAAGCTGGGATACATAAAAAAGAGCAGAGAATTAGCAGACATACGGGACATAGACAAGTAGTTCAGAATCACCATCATTGCTTTGCAAGAGTTCCTGGCATGGGCAAAAAGATCAATACAAGATAAGAAACGTTTCTATTCCCATCATCTTCAGACTATGACTACACATGTATGCTTCAAATGCCGTCTTGACAACAAGGTCTTGGCAGTTCAATCGAACCATAAACACAACAAAAACGTAAATTAGTAAGGTGGAGTCCAGCTTACCCCAGAGAAGTTCAGGCGGTGCTCCCAAGCTTTGAAGACCGACTTGACACTTCCTGGAACTGCTTCATTCAGAGCCGAAACCTAGAAATTTTGCACAAATGGGAAATGCCAAGTAAGATCATAAGCTGCAGGAAATCGAATTCAAAGAATACTGGAGACGGACGAAGGCTTGTGTTCCCATCGGCAAATTGGAAAGCCTCTTCGCAGAATCATCGATATCGCAACGGAATTATAGTCAGCGGAAATTAAGGAAGGCAATGAAGCGGCGGGTGAATTCTCACCTTAGAGAGGTCTATGTGTTTGTAGAGAGACCAATCAGAAGAGCAATCATGATCTTCGCAGCTGTGATCGTGCGTACAAGCCATTCTTCTTCTTCTCCAATTCGGTGGTTGTCTGCAGTCTGCTTTCCCTGCACGCAGCGAAGAAGGAGAAGAAATTTCTGGAAAAACAGTGTCTGTCGCATGCAAGCGAAGCGAATCTGTGTTCTGGCGATGAAGTGTTACAAACTCCCCGTTTTAACTTTTAAGCATCACTCCACGATGGCGTTCAAAAGCCCGGACCGGACCGGACCGGACCGAGCTGTCTCTGGAATAAATCGAACTTATGTAAAAAGATATGAGACGTGAATCACGTGATAACTATTGGAAGTAGGGATGGCAATGGGGCGGGTTTGGGGCGGGTTTGCCTAAACCATCCCCATCCCCGCTTTTAAATATCTATACCCATACCCGCCCCATACCCATGCGGGGAGGGTTTTGCAAACCCATCCCCATACCCATGGGTTTCGGGTACCCATGGGTAATACCCGCCCCGTACATCCAACATTATAATATGGAATATTTTACATATAGACTTTCAATTATAACATTAAACACACCTACTATATCATGAAGTCGACAAAGAGACAATCATTTTTAATACGATTCAAAGCATCTTATCCTAAAATATACATTAATCCATATCATAGTAGAGTACAATGTCATTCAAATCATTATTCTCTATTGTGATACATCTATTAAGTAATAATTAACTAACATAATCTTGTTAACAAGGGGAAAAAGTGAAAGAGTGAAGGGATAATTGAGAGAAATAAATTATATTTTGATTTGGGTGGCCACTCAATTGCATTTCTACTATATATTTTTCATATGTGAAGAAATATTTTTGGTGGGGCGGGTATGGGTATGGGTATGGGGCGGGGGAGGCTAAAACCATACCCGCCCCATACCCATCAAACTTTTTGCGGGTTTTACCCATACCCGCCCCATACCCGGTCAATGCGGGGATTCCCCGCGTTGACTGGGTCGGGGGCGGTCGGATACCCGTGGGCATGGGTTTGATTGCCATCCCTAATTGGAAGTATATTTAGTTTGGTTTGAGTTTCTCAGCTGAAATAACATATTTATATTTATCTCACATGTTATTTCACGTATTGTTTATACCGAGTTATGTAACGATGAGGCTTGATCCAAATGTACTTGTCGAATTAAATATGCTATATAATCTTTTTTCATCTAAATTAACAATTTTATTACCACAAAAGGGAAGCTGCAAAACTAAAACAAAATAAATTAGCATACTATTCTAATTCTAGTTAAGAGAGAATCCAATATCCAACCATAACAGATAAGAAATCTCCTCCTCAGAAAAATATGAGTTTTTAAACAAAACAAGAAAAGGAAAAACACAACTACAAAACGAAATCCATGTCATCTACTAGCTAGTTAAATCATCGTGCCTCCGATTGTCACATATGACCAACTCCACCTGCAGCTAACAATACGATAGTTGCAGCTCCGCCCATCCAAGCAGCAACCCACCAATCAACGAGAACTGCGGCCACCGACGACGAGGCTGGAGGAGGAGGGCTAGGACCATCATGCGGCGGCCACGGAGTAGCTGCCGGCGGCACCGAGTGGTGGGACGAGTTTCCACCGCTGGCACCAGCCGCTGGTGGGAGGGAATTAGGGGTCGGCGCTGGAGCTGGAGCACGGTGATGGTGGTGGTGATGGTGGCTGTGGTTGTGGGCCGTAGTAGCAGTAGTCAAAGCTGCGGCTACGACTAGGATTAATAGTATCGCCGGCGTCGTCTTTGCCATGCTTAAAAGTCTAGCCATTTATTTCCCGGCCGGTAGCTATTTGTTTCTGAGTGTGGCTGTGTGGGTAATGGTGAAACTCTCGTACGTACTTATAGTGATCGTGAGAGTAGACCGTGGAGAGTACGTAACTTACTGCTGGTAAAATTCCCACCATTAATTTCATTCAATGCATTCAAAGTAGAGCATTTTAAGACATAATACCCACCGGTTGAAACAAAAACGGACAACTCGCAGTGAATAGTGTGTGATCTACGACTACTAGTCATTCCACAATCCGTTTTTTTTTATAGCTCATTTGGCAACTAGTTCTTTCCGAACAAATACAACATATCAAATAACAACTATTGTGTTATGTGATAATTGTGAGGTTAATTGCAAGGATGGTCACTGGGTTTACTAAAACCGTTCATGTTTGGTCACTGCAAATATTTAATTCCATTCATAGTCACTAAGATTAGTTCAATAGTTCAAGTTTGGTCACTCTCCGTTAATTTTTGCTGATGTGGCAGTCAACTATTATAGTTGACCGTTAAATGAGTGACGTGGCCATTAAAAAATAATAAAATAATAAAATTTAAATATTTACAATTTTCATCTCATTTTACAACTATTAAAATTTTAAATATTTATTCTGATTCGGAGAAAGAGAATGCGTATCGGTCGAGGAGTTGAAGATGGCGATCCTGAGGAAGTTCAAGGCGAAGAAGAACGCCAATCCGAAATGGAACCCTAACGGGTTGTGCCTGGGAACCGACTATGATCTCGTCTTCACTAACGAGAACACCAAGGAAGAGTACGGCGAACAAGAAGAAGCGTTGATCCCTAGCGGCGCTTCCATTGCGGTCAGGCGAGTCCCCGGAGATCGTCGCCGGAGGTGGATCGACACCTCCAAGATCGTAGTCGAGAACAACTCCGATCAAGAAAAGGAAGCGACTTTGATGGCAGAATCGAAAGATTCAGGAGAACCCACGACCTCAATGGAGAAGAGCAGCGTTACAGAAAAGGAAGAAGAAGAAGAAGATTTCCATGATTTCGGGGAAGATGCTCTGGGTTTAGAGAAGGAACATGGGAAGGCTAGTGGAGCAGCGATAAGAAAAGAAGAGGAGGATATGAAGATTAAGAAATTGGTTAGCACACCTGCTCTGTCTAAGTTTCAGGGGAAGAGGAAACCCATGTGCGGCATTGGCGGTGGATCAAATTGCAGCATTCGAATTGCTTCTGCTTCTGAACTCACAGAGTTTGTACATAGCTAGTTTATTACTTTTCATAAGCAAGGAATTGCTTGAGAAGGGTACAATCTTACTATCTTTCCCTGTTGCAAGCAAGATTGAAGAAGAAGAAGAAACGCAATGAGGAGAACTGAAGGTCGCGCGTCAGCTCGATGTCTTCTCGGTCGCCAGATGGAGGAGAAGCTCGTGTGGTGGAGCTTCTGTTCGGTCGCGCACGGAGGAGGACTTGCCGCCGACTTCTCGACTGCCGCCCGAGGAGGAAGAGGGTTTTGCTCGATGGGGAGGGGGAGAAGAAGTGGTTCGATGGGGTTAGGGTTACAGAAGCGAAATCGACGACGTTTGGTGTGGCTGACAAAAGGAGGAAAAAAAATATGTTTGGTCACTAAATGAGATGGAAATTGTAAATATTTAAATTTTATTATTTTTTAATGGTCATGTCATTCATTTAACGGTCAACTATAATAGTTGACTGCCACATCAGCAAAAACTAACGGAGACTAACGGAGAGTGACCAAACTTGAACTATTGAACTAATCTTAGTGACCATGAATGGAATTAAATATTTGCAGTGACCAAACATGAACGGTTTTAGTAAACCCAGTGACCATCCTTGCAATTAACCCGATAATTGTGTGATATTTCAACTCATATACTACATTTGACAAATAACACTTCGACAAATAAGTAATAACTTATAACCTAAAAGTATTTTTCATAAGGGAATCATTTGGCAAGCAAATAATACATGTTTTAAAAAAATCATGCATTCTACGGAATATTAAGAGCTCATATAACGGTACACAAGCAATTTTTATATGAAACCTTTGGGTTTTCTTTATTTGTTAAAATATATGGTACACTTAATATTCTAAGAATAATTTTCATATAAAAATACTATAATTTCAAGAAACATATATATACCCTCATCATCTCTTATATATTTCAACAAAGATCCGTGCCTAATAGGTTCTAATAGAAGAAAAGAAGCTCAAACAGATAAAGGAATCAAAGCCATTTCACTAGGCAAACTGTCTACTAACCGGCTGGGGATGATTGAAGTTCGGTTTAGTTAGCCAATCACTCCCAGTAATCAACATTCTGCCTTCTACCCAAAACCTGAACTGGCCATATGTAGTCTTCTGTACAACTACAGGTGAAGAAAATCTATGGAAACAAGCTCAGCCACCGCATTACATGCATATGCTCACATAAAAGCAAAATGGTGACGAAAACTACTACTACTACTGTGCAACAACACAAACGATATATATCAAACCCAGAAGAAGAATGATCAAGAAACCGAGTCACACCTCACTCACCACCACACTTTCAGAATCCCAACACCTGCTGAGAAATGTGCAGCAACGGCTCGAGAGTACTCGGCGAGAACTTCCTCGCAAAGAGATTACAAATCTGGAACTCCTCCCGATCATTGTACTTGCATTTCTGCGAGTCATATATCTTCTTGAAGAACTCCGCCGTGATATCTGCCCCTCCAAAGGTGGCTGGGTGGGCCCCGCCTCGTGACCAGTCAACCCACGTGATGCTCCGATTCGCCAGCTCGTTCGGTGCTTCGATTGTCAGCATTGTGGGGAAGTAGTGCTCGTCGACGTAACAGTTAGGCCTGCAGAACTCCTCGAACTTCGGGTAGTATTTTGTGTCTTCCACTATGCTGACAGCAAGGTTTCGTCTTAACTCGAACCACTGGGAGCCTTTCCGCCACTGCGTGATGTTCACCTCGGGGGCCATATTCTCGTTGTACCGGCCCCTGCCATAGGGCCCCTCATCGTCGAACGCGCCCATGAAGCTCTGGTTTGTACTCCTTATGTAGCGGTATATGATGCTGAAGTTATAAAGAGGAATGCATGATTCTGAGAGGAGAATGAACCACTCGTTTGAGATGTCGAGCAAAGCGTTTGCGAGGAGTCTTCTCTCGGCGTCACACATGCTCATCTTTCCCCATTCGGAAACCTGCACAAACGTAGTCGAAAATGTAAAGGTCTTTCGCCTAGAGAAGGAAACCATAACTGCCCCCAAAATCTTGTGACCACTGTCCATATGAATTTGGCTTCTGCGTGATTGAGCCCTATACTTGAACCTTAAGAAATAAACTAAGCTGAAGTTCCTCAATCTTAACATAGGGGGCCATCATAGAACTTAACAACATTATAATATCCAGCATCTTCACCACAAAATAACCCAAATTTTCAGCTGAACAAGACATGTATGTCTTCTACCAGCTCGGATTTGTGACTTCAAAATGAGCTCAAAACAGATTCCTCGTTAAATAGGCTATAGGCTACATCTAGCAATGAGTATGCATAATTATACTTATCAGGATTACGCTGACACATTTTGCCACGGTAGTTTGTTGTCAAATGACCAATAGATAACACAAGTTGCAAGATTTCCCTCTACTGAAGGCTCCTAATTGCAAAGCTCTGCACTCTTGTATAAATAAGTGCTGCTTTGCCTAAGATGGACTCTCTGCTGATGTAAAGGTATAACTTACATCTAAAGTACCATCTAAACACTCAGGACAACAGATGCAGGTATGAAATGGGTGCACCACAGGACATAATAATAGCTAGATTTCTCAGGTCCGACATATGACATACATTACAAGGAATATAGGATAGAACACCCTGCTTTCCCTTCAGATACGGATTCCAAGAGCAAAAAGAAAGTAAGTCATTATTTCACATTAGAAGCACAGCACATCTACATGCTGCATTCCAGAAAATATTAAATATAGTGATGCGTAACTATCGAGATATTCTAGATGAAATGTGTATGGTAATCCTCCGCACTACCTAAAGCAGCATCAAACTAACCTTACGAAGATCTACTGAAATCCCCATAGATGTCTGATTTTACCACTTGTATATTTCTCATCAGGACTCATTGCTCCCTCAAATTCAATCAGTAAGCAAAACAAGGGGTGAAAGGAACCGTGTCATGGCTTCTCTATGTTCATAACCTAAGTAAAATTCTATCCCTAGTCCTATCAATAACCAAACCAGTTGACCCAAATGCGGGAGGAAAAAAAAAAAAACGAAATGAAGCAAGAACACATGAGGGTCACAGTCAGACACACACCTTACTAGGGACCTGCCTCCGGTAGAAAACCGACGAAGGTGGGAACTTGGCTTCGAATGAAGGAAGGGAATGTAGGTAAATGGAGTATAGCCCCTGATGGCCACTGAAGAACCTCTCCCAAAGAGGTGCAAGGGGCAAGGGACCCTTGGACAAGAACATGAAAGCCACCTTTGGAACCCTGCTGAAAGGGTATTTCTGTATTCGAGGGACAAGTGTAGCCCTCCAGAACAACTCCTCGTCGCTCATCCTGTGGAGCAAGTTCGATGGTGGGGCGATAAACCGCTCGAGCGTCGCAAAAGAGTCAGCGGCAGCACCACCAATGCAGCTGGGGATGAAGCCCGACCTGACGGTGGTGACCACATTCTGCACTCCGAACCGCCTGATTGCGTAGATGCTGATGAAGGAGAATGCGAAGCATAGGGATAGGAAGAGAAAGAATAATCGGAGCATGCGCAAGGGGAATCCCCTGGATTGAGTAGGGATCGCCGTCTTGATTGAAGGAGGCGGAGGGGGATTTGAGTCTTTGTTGCTTTCCTCGAGTGATACCACCACTCGGGATTGCATAGCTTCCGGCGACGGTGATCGGAGAAAATCCCACCTGTTTTCGTTACGATTCCGATCAAATTATCAGCGAAAAGGAAGAAATTCGAAATGACGAACGGGGGAAGAAGCGGGGATGCTTACTGTGTGCATACAGATCTAAGGTAGAGCAAGGAATCAGGAATCAAATGTGATAGGGGAACGAGCCGTCATCTTCTCTTCCTTCAATTTAACGACGGTGGCGGTGGAGGTGGTTGTTGATTTTGGAGCAGGTTTCCCGGCCGGAAGCGCGGTGGTGAGGGAGGGGGGAAAGGGGAAAGGTGGCCTTGTTGTTGGTTTGCTTCCGCACGGTCCTGAAATCGTTGAGAGAATGTTTTACACTTTTACTTTCTCGCACGCCATTTTTCTTTTATAATTTTGACGCCTGTTCATCTGTTTTCTCCGCTTTTTTTTTAATTAATTTTTAAACTCTATTTCCGCGAGCTTTCTAGCCTTGGGCATCGGCGCATCTTTGGTGAGCTGGCAGGACCCAAGTGTCGACGTGGTTGCGGGGTTTGTATCGTAATCTCCGGCTCGTCCAAAGCCTCTTCTTTCGTTACCTTTAATTGAAGGGGCAAACAAAACCTTCCAAAAAAGAAGAGAGAGAAAACAAAAGGAAACAAGAATTACTGTGAAAAAGGGTGTAAATTGGAAGACTTTGTTACCGGAAAACTCACCAGATTTCAGTGACTCGGTTGGTCAAAAATCTGAATCTAGTTAGTCCTATAATGAGAAAGACGCAACACATGTTGATTTCGTTACATCATACATTCTGAAATTTCTTTCAGTTGTCAAATGCACACAGAAATGTCAGCCGCCACATGCATTTAACAGGTTGTATCGATCAGATCGATCGTGCAACCCGACGACTTTATCCCCAGCAGCCCGTCAAGATGCTTTACATGCTTGTTCTCTTAAAAACTGTAAAGGGAATCCATTTGGTTGTTGAAATGGCGGCATTAAACTCCTCCAGAAGCTAAGCCTAACTTAGGTAGCTGCCATCTCACCGGCCCAAACCAACCTACCTAATTACCTACTAACCTCCATCCATCTTACACACCTATCTATTGATTGACATTTTACACCCTTCCCCTTCTTTTCTTCCACAAAAGCAACCTATTGCTATCGAAATCACAAACCAACCCGACGAGCTGCCGCTGTTTTCTAGCTCCTACCAAGTCTTTATAATGTCATCCCGACTCCTGCAAACTCAAATTTGAGATTCATATCCTAGAGGAACCACCACAATTGGCCAATAGAATCCCATGAACATCTGTTTACAGAAACAACGGACGAGTTCATCGGAGCTCAGACACACCCCTGAAGAACAATTGAAAACCACATGCAATCCCACTGAACGATGACAACACTCTTTCCACACCACTTCACAAGAGTTAGTTTTTATGTACCCCAAAGACAGTAGTAGTAGTGCTAGTACGGAATTTGCAGATGATGCATGCAGAAAGACCAATCATTTCCCCTTTGCAACCACAAATCCAGATTTGAGGTTCGATATCATGACTGAGCACTTTCCCTTCTCGTCGTACTCCATAAACTCCCCGTCAGACAAGTCAATGTCCTCGAATTTAGTCCCCGCAGCCTGTAAAAGAGACCAGCAACTCTTAACACAGTGTCTCATATTAACTTTTATAACCCTCTGGTAATATAACCATGATTGTCACTAAGTTTCCAAAAAACATGCACAGGCAGCCACCATTTTAATTTCGTTTGAGCATTTGCGTTGTCGAATAAATTTGGACTATATCGATTCACAATCACATAGAGGATGAATAGACTTGCTCAGACAGTCTAAAACCACGAAATCTTCCATGATAACTGATCCTGATTCAGAAGTATCAATGCATTCGCTGCTTATTAAATGTCTCAATCTTGTTGCAGCCTATCATTGTCTCTCAACAAAGTTATGTGATAACATCTAAGTGATTTTAACATTACTGATGGACCCCAAAGCGAGGTGATGCGTAGTATTAGTCATGACTCCTAGAAACCAACGTAGAGTAAACAGAACTTCAATTTTCTACATCTTGCGATGGCATAACAATCAAAACTCACAAGAGAATCACCAATACACTATCAATCATAAGACCATATTTCCCAGAAAAGAAACGATTTGAGTAAATTGAACTTTGATTTGCCACGATGATAAAAAAACAAACAGAAATAGATTGAAGCTACCGTAAACACCAAAATTTCCTCACTGATCGCTAAGAATCAACAGACTCCATTCCCAGAGCTCTATACCAAAAAACCAAGAATTGTTGTGTAGGAGCAGAAATAGGAGAAGGGACAGCACAGTAAGTCAAAGAATGGAAACTTACTGTTTCAACCATCCATCCACCCTCAAAGAGAAATCCCACAGGCTCGTAACCTCGGCAATCGAACATCATCAATCCTGTATACTTCCCAGCTTCACTGAGTTCCTGGGTGAGTGGTTTACCTTTCCCCGGGATCAAGGACACAGTTCCTTCCCTCTCACAAAACTTGCACTGTGGAGAGTGAAATGCAGATGGACAATAATAACACAACCATTCATTACAAAGGAAACTAGCAACACAGCCAATGATTCAAGTTTTCAAAGCAATGAATAATCTTGATAACCATACCAAATCGTAACAGAGCAGGAAAATGCCATGCATCACACAAGAAGACATCACCAATATTATTTTACTAGAGTACAATTGAAGCTTAATCGCAGTCCTGAATTACCGACATGACCTTAGCCACTGTAGCAATTGGAACTACTCTGTGCTTACTGCTAGCAAGATCCATCCTCATAACTGATTGATACGCCTATGTATGCTAAGCACACAACATTTAACAGATCATAACCACAAATAAGGACGAGGCTGACAAGATAAAGAGTAAAACCAGAAGTGGTTACCTTCTGAACAAGATTAGCAGTGCCCTTGCTACCCGGAATTTGAACCGATCTCTCCAAAGCAACACAAGTTTCCTTATCGGTCAGCTCCCCGCAGCTTCCACATTTCATCTACAACATCTCCAAAATCCTCGCGTCAGATACACGAACAAGCCTAATCGCCATTCACAAGCTAATTCGCACAAACAGACGCTCGACAAAATTTTCAGATGAAGACGAAATATAAGAGTCTCAAGCGAGGAGCCAAGCGAACATCTCGAAATCGATGGAGGCAATCAGAAACGAAAAAACCCTAGGACTTGATAAACAGAAGTTTGCAGAGCTTATCCGCCGGCGGAATCGCAGAAGCGAAGGCAGATAAAGAGGTAGATAGAGGTTTGAAAGGGAACCTTGAAGAAATAGGTGAAAGAAGGATCGTCGCAACCGCCCTGAGGCTGGAGAGTGGCGACGTTCTCAAACTCGGCAGTGATCATCAGCCAGTAGTTCACCATGTTCGGATTTCGCCGTTTCAGAAATCAAGCGAAGCGAAGCTCTCTTCAAACTCTTCGCGTCTCTCTTACTGTGGTATATTGCGAATGTGAATCTCTTCCCACGTCGAGCACTAGCAAATGAACTGATCGGCTGCTATAAACAAAGCACAGTAACAACATAACCTCCACGCTATAATGTTCGTTTGCAGATGGGTTGAAACTCGGGAGTCAACGACGACTATACTGCGGTAATGGGCCCTGGTCCCTGGACCTGGGCTTGGGCATATAGTTAGAGCATTAATGCAAAGCAATTACGTTTTTTAATGGCAATTCAATTCTTTTGCAATTCACCTCAATTCTTTTTCGTTCACCTACATCAGTATAATTAATTTACAATTGCATATATAATTACATATTATATTTAAACTATAAAAAATAAAATAAAAAATTCCATGGTTCTAGGCCTTTTTGACTTGCAATTGCATTTGTTAGTCATATCAATGTAATTGGTATTTACAATTGCAAACACTCATGTCATGTCATCTTGCAATTGAGATTGCAATACTAATGTGGATGCTCTTAATGAGTTGGCAAGCACACTATCGGGGAAACCCCATTACCGTCTTTGTCCGGTTCAGAAAACAAACCCAAAAGTAGTGTCGGTTGGATTATTTCCAACTAAATTGATTGGATTCGATTGGATGGCAACGGTGATTTCTTTTTTTCATCCTTATTTCATATCCATTTTGAGTGGGTTGTAAAGTTGGGAGCCACCGAGTTTGGGGTGAGTTTTTCTAAACTACCCTCGTTTCCATTTACAAATACTAAATCTACCACCAATTTCAGTAAATTTTTTGCAGGTTTTATCTATATTTGGAATTGTCAATTTAATTGTCATTCTGAGTTGACTTAGAATATATGTTTGGCCCTAAGTTTTCTTATGGCTAGGGATCTATAATGGTTCGATCCAAAGGCGACCGAAACTCATTAGAATGGTGGTCTAGCACTGAAAGATATCTTAGAAGCAAAAAACCTGACCACCATTGCATCCTGTCATATTTGAAATTTCTATAGAATGTCAAGGGTGATTTGGGACCTCCAACTACTAAACTAGGTGTATAAATCGAAAGAGCTATTGTGTTTTGGTCAGAGCTCGAGAATTGGCTATCGACAGTCAAAGACGGACTGTTGAAAGCCGATATTCATACCATTAAATATAGGGTTCAATTTATATCATTTAGCGGGTACCAAAATTGGTGGTTCGAATGGAGTTTTTTTTTAATGGAGAATGGAGTTATGATCGTAGACACGGTGCTACTCTACTGATCTCCTAAGTTATGCGAAATCTTTTTGGTGCAAATATCAATTCTATCCATTTTTTCTATATTTATAAAATTCATGTGACAAAATACCGAATACATTATATTACATTCGATCCAATTCAGTATGATGTATTTTCAAGCATCGGACCAGAACAAAATAAACCATTGCACACTCTGTCGTTCCCAGAAGAAACTACAAGTGCCCTTAGATCATCTAAGGTTAGCTAGTTGCCTCGGTTTAGTAGTAGACTCAAACAAATATAGCAAAACTGAAGAAAGATGGAAAGCACATTTTAGTATTTTACTCTAGGGGCACTGTTCATATCGATGCGTTAGTCCTCCAGCACGCGGCATATCTACATTCCAGAATAGCCTCTACTAAAGTTAAATGGATCAAAAGTCCAAAACCCCACTACAAACAACAATAATCGATAAACAGCAAAAATTGCATACCATTACAGGGAATCTCCAAGCACCTGACTAAACAGATTCATTTTGCTTCCTCTCTTCTTGTATCGACTGAAAGATCCGAGCTGCTGATTCAGTTGCAGACCTGGAGTTATGCGGCACGACCCTGATCACCCTAGAGACGTTACCTGATCGTTGAGGAGCAGCGCCAAATGCAGAAGGAGCTCTTGGGAAAAGTTGAAGAGATGCATCATCTCTTATATCACCCCGCTGCTGAATGCTACCGACTACTTCCACTCTCTCGCTAATGCTACTCGCGGTGCTTCTTTGCAGCTCAGCTTCTTTAGAAGTTACCCGGATCTCCGCCACTGAGACAGCCCCACTCTTCTGAGTTAGCACTTCCACGTTATGTTGAACGTTGAAATTCGCCCCACTTCCAGAAAACTGACTGATTTGACCATGGGAACCCGATCCTGGGAAGCAGTTCGACTGGTCAACTGCTGAACCCGAGAGAGCGGAGCTCATGACTGACATACCATATGGAGGGAAGCAACCCATTCCCTGTTGAAAATAAGTTGGAAGTCCGTAGCCTGGGTTCATGAAGTTTCCCATTACAGGAGGAGGGCCGTATGCTCCATATCCTCCACAACCAGGTCCCATTTGTCCAGGGGGTGCATAAGGTTTGTACACGAGTCCTTCGGTGGGGGACATGACAGGGACCAACCAGTGCTGGCCAGTGGCTTGGTGGAAATTCCATGAACTCGTCGTGTTGTTGCTGTCTGTGATTGCGGGAACTGGAACTTGGTTTCCTACATGAGGCGGCCTGTAGGTTGTTGGTGGCTGACTATGGTTTCCAAGAGACTTCCCAACAGCATTCTCTGCAGAACCTTCCATCTTATTATGACTAGGTTCTTGTGAATCATCTTTTCTTTTGGTACCACGTGCTGGCTGCAGCAGGACGTACTCGGCTTGAAGTTTCTTCATTGGAGAGCCAGGAATGGATGATTTTGTGAGGAAGTTGCTCTCTTCCACCAAAAGATGCGGAGCACCAGCGATCAATTGTTGAACCTAAATAAACATGTGAAGTGATTTTCATACTACTGTGCATAGTCATGTTTTTGGAATGGAGAATACCTTTTGTCCCACAAAAGCTAGTTAGAGAAATACTGCTATAGTGTGTTACCTTGATGAGTCTATGCAACTCAAACACTTGAACCGCAAAAACTCTTTGTTGACTGCAGAGAGAGGAAGAGGAATTTGATTATGAACAGACAAATCAAACAAAAGTTCGTTATGCCAAAAAAAAAGTTTGGTAAGAGAACTCCGGTGCAAGCAGCAATGCAATATAAACAACAGAAATAGTTTAAACGTCAACTAGCAATCAGGTTGGGTACAGCATTGCTAAAATGGTTGAAGATATCATTACGAATAATGAACACGAAGACTGCTATTTTCAAAAAGAAATAGCACCTGTAACTACTTGCTTGCTGAAAGCATGGAAGCTGCGCCACACAATTAAGTGCGTAGTAAAACAATATCCTTAAATGAACAATACCAGAGGCTGAATTTCTCACATGACACACATGTAGTATACCTCCAGCCTTGGACAACTTAGTTTTTTTTATTTTTTTCATATGCACATACCAAAAAACTTTCTGAAAGGGCTCGTGGCCAACTAGATAACAGGAATCAAGTGTCTATAATTCTTATACCCTGGAAGAGAGAGCTTGACATATATGTTAGTGGCTGCGAAATTCAGATATAAACAGAGGCCATAACAGTAGATCATCCAATACAAGAAGATAAGCCAGGAACTCAAATTTTGAATTCAACCATGCTGACACAACGTTTCCATGCCTTCGACTTGCAGAACTCTTCCGGGAAGGATAAATGTAGCTCATGCGCTTGAAATAAATTTAAATAATTGATGACACATGTTTCCCAACATAAAACTAAAACAAATTTATGCCAAGACCTGGCATTCCTATAACATAACTCTCCATTTTCCCATCTGCAACTCACCTACTGATAACTCCAGGAACCATCTCCTGCAGATGTTGGTTACGTGCTAAAGGCCCTCGAGGATAAGTAATTTGCCCAGTGGTCAGAAAGAAAATATGCAATCCTATCCAAGATAGGAGTATAACCAAAGAGAACAAAGTGCTAAAGAACTAGATATATAAGACGATCTACTATCCCGGGGGCACCTTGAACGAAGTACCTCAATCACCATTATCACTACACCCTGTCGCAGGAACTTCCACATTGAAATGTTATCAAGGGCTTGAGCACCAAAAACACGCCAGATTGGTTGGAGACTCCCCACTATCTAGTTCTCCCTTGCCACTGGCCATGATAATTGCAAAATAGGCAATCATTTCATTCCTACAGTTAACATTCTGCCTGACATTTAAACAATCTAACAAAGTCAGATTGTGTAAATATGAAGAGAAGTAACCCAAGAAACAAGGAAATGAGGAAGCTCTAGACACTCCATTACTATTGTGACATACATATGGAGCAGCCAAATAGTCCTCTAGACAAAACTTAATAACAAATTTGAACAATAATTGTCTAAACAACCTCATAATTTCTTAGTAGCAAACGTGGGCGAAGGAAAGACCAGACCTTAGACGGGTTCAATCAGTATGGCAGATAAAATTCCCCAAGCTTCAAGATTTCAAATGTAAGACAATATATAGCTAAGATTAGTTCCCAGATAAATAAACGCCTTCAACATGACAATATTGCAAAGTAAAAATCTCACGACAGACTTGCACGGCAGGTCTCAATTTTTCATGATGTGTTACAATACTTACTTGACAATTGCTCTTCTAGCTTTCCAGAAATGTTTCTGACCAATCATATCCACAACATCATCCGGAGATATGTCCAAGGGTTCGGCAGAGTCAACAATGGATGTGTCAGATGCATCGTCCCCTTTATCAGTATTTCTCACTGGTATTGACACGTCCACCTTGGTAACACAGGTGCCACTGCCCTCATTGGGTGTACATGGCTCTTCACAAGAACCCAAGCTGTCCTTTCGCACAAGGACATCATTTTTCTCTGTTCCCCTTCGCCGCATCTCAGGAACAGCATCACCAAGTGCACATACATTTGACTGCAACCATGCAGGCTGCTGTTGATTACCATGAGAACGTTTTTTCGGGTGTACAATTGCTTCCTCCCCAGACTCAGCAAAATTTTCTCTAGTATGCAAATTATCACTTGAAATGCATGGATTTCCTCCATGTCTTGAATGGGGATCAATGGATGACGCACACTGGGTATCAATATAGCCAGTATTCTGAGCTTTGTTGGAATGACATGAATGCATCGAGCTAAATGGAGCCAGCTCTTCCACATTAGAACGTTTTCTCTGCAACTTGGACGCACCTGTATGTACAAATACTGGAACAGTGAAATCATCTTCGTCTCCGGCCTTCTTCCTCTGCTCACGTGGCGCCAAAGAACTGTTCAAGTTCCCAGCACTGGGCTGGAAAGAAGGCAGTTGATCGGCTAGAGTTGGT